GGTGGCTCAGTTGTTGAGCTTCTGCTTTCAGCTCAGGTCATGATCCCAGGGTCCTGGGATCGAGTCCCACATCGGGCTCCTTGCTCAGCGGGAGCCTGCTTCTCCCTCTGCCTGCCGCTCCCCCTGCTCGTGCTCACTCGCTCGCTCTCTCTCTCTCTGTCAAATAAATAAATAAAAATCTTAAAAAATAAATTTTAAAAAATAAAAAGTTGCTTTTCAAAGAATAAGGATGTATTTTACGTACTGATGTGTAAAAAAATCTCTAAGAGACATAGTTAAGCAGAGAAAGTACATTTATTGTACTACCATTTGTGTAAAAAGGGGAAATGAGAATATATATTTGTATTTGCTTGTATATACATCAAGAAACTGCAGAGAACAATGACAGTGGTAACCTGGGGTATTAGACCACTATAAATAGTTATGTGGGAGATTTTTTTTATGTTATTCCTTATTATATTCTTTGACTTTAGAATCATATGAAAATTTTACCTGTTTAAATAAATTGTATTTTAAAGAAATTGAAACATATAGTCAATTTTAAAAATAGTATCCAAAGTACTGTAAAGAGAAAGGGTACAGTAAACAGTGCTCTAGCATCCCATATCAGCTTCAACGGTGGGGCAGGGTGGGGTTGGCTAATGTTCATTATAAACCGGAACATCCAGTTGAGTACTGTGAATGAACATATTATGATTGCTTCTTTCATGTTAGACTTACCCAATAAACTGTTCATGTAGCCCTAATAGGACAGCTGTGCTGCCCTGCAGAGGACACAGATTTTGAAGCAAGAGACTTGAATTTGATTCCTGTGTCTACTGTTTTCTGGCCTTGAGATTTTGGACAAATTGTTTTAATCTTAATCTACCAAAACCTCTCAATAAATACAAAGAATAAATGAAATAATGTGAGCGTGCTTTGTAAATTATCAAATAACATACAAAGAGAGCTATTATTATTTGTGTTTTGGTTTATATTGCACAGTAATCAGCCCATTAAGTTGGTCATAATTGAATTGCTGAACATTAGTCACAAACAAAACATGCTTAGCATATGACTTAGTCACCTCCTTCAAAGAAAATAGAAGTATGAATTTCCTCAACTCTCTGCTCTTCAGCTATCTGTCACACTGTGTCTCTGTCCTCCAGAGCCTACATTGCCTTCCTAGTGGACTTTGGTCACTCCAGTGACTTGTGTTCAACAAAAATTACCTTTCTTACTGAGTGGTGTATATATTTCTACCTTTTGTACTTTGGAATAGTTTCCTTTCCGTTCCTCATAGGGTTTAAGTCTTCATAAGTATTTTCTGTATGAGGTCAAAGAGTTAATTCCTGATCTCCAGACTGAGATGAAGGGCACCAATTCCTCTGTAAAGCCAACTCTTCTTCTGTTCCCCTCCACTTATCCCCTACCCTGTTCCATGAGTTATCATCTCCCATTCTTGTATCCTCAATCTCTCCTGCTAGTCCTAACTCTATGCTTTGACCTGATAGGAATGCTCAAGTCTAACATCCCTAAAAATATTTTCAAATGTGAATCCCTTCTGTTGTCACATCTTTTATTTTTTTGCTTCAAAGAATGATTGCCTTTAACTTCTCAGTTTCCATTCATTCCCTAGTTCATTATGATTTATGATCTCATTTCCCTTTTTGTTTTTTTTAAGATTTTTAAAAAATTCTTTATTTGACAGAGAGAGACACAGCGAGAGAGGGAACACAAGCAGAGGGAGTGGGAGAGGGAGAAGCAGGCCCCCCACGGAGCAGGGAGCCCGATGCAGGGCTCGATCCCAGGACCCTGGGATTATGACCTGAGCTGAAGGCAGACGCTTAATGACTGAGCCACCCAGGCGCCCCGATCTCATTTCCCTCTTAACTGTCACTTTTTTAAAAACTTTGGCCAACTTCCCCCTGCTAAATTCAGTGGCTTTTCAGCTCTTGTACTGCCTGACTGTTGATGACACCTCTGAAATGTACTCCTTTTGCGGCTGTGATGTACTGTTCTGGGATTTCTTCCCTCTCCCCTATTTTTCTCTTAATCTCTTTGGCTGGTTTTTCTCCTATCACCTGCTGCTGAAGCTTAGGGGTTATGCAGTTCTCTCCTTGGTCATCATCCCACTCTTTGTCTTTCCACAGTTGTTGCATTATATAATGACCGAGTCCATACTGTTCTGCTTTCCATCTATACTCTCTCCCTGAGATTTTATCCATTTCCATAACTATAGAAACTAATGACTCCCCCAACAGTACCCTTGGACTTTGCTGCCTGATTGCAGGTACCTCACATTCACCTATCTCCCTAATTAAAATAGTTCTCCTCTCCTCCAGCCCGCTCATCTTCTTGTGTTCCCTGCGCAGTCAGTGCCATCTTCACCTTCCCAGTCCCTTATGCCAGAAACCTCCAGGATCGTCCTTGACTCCTTCCTGACCATTCACATGTAATTTGCCTCAAAACCCTGTCAGTTCTGCTTCTGAAATATCTTTCTTGTATATCTCCTTGTTTTCGTCGCCACTCAGGTTTCTTTAAAATGAAACGTAATGTAATGTGTCACTACCTCAACCTTAACAATTTTTATAACTTTTTATTGCCTACAAGACAGAGTCTGAAGTCCTTGGGCATGGCAAATGAGATTTTTTTACAACCTGTTCCTGACCTTTTCCTGCCCCCAGCCCTGACAGACCGTGTTCCCCAGCCAGCTCAGGAGTATTCACTGGTTTTCTGCATAGGCCTTGCTTTTCAATTTCACACCTCTGCATCCCTGTCACGTCTCTGCTTGGAGCCCTTTCACCTTCCACTCACTTTTCTCAGGAATCGTGTCTTTATGCTGCCTTTCTGGACCACATAGGATGATCAGTCCTGCAGCACTTTATTCATGTCTCTGCTATAATATTTATCCTGTAGTAAAGCTAACTTACAATCGTCTTAAGGACAGCATCTAGGTCTTTTTAATTTCAATATTGCCATAGCATAGTACCTAGAATATAGAATTTTGATAATTATTTATGGGATGAATAATATTCAAAGTAAAAGAGAACTCAGCCCACACTGAGTCTGGAGAGTTCCCATGTTGTCTCGTGAACAGCACATTGAGAGGTGGTTAAGAGCTTGATTTCTGTAGTCGGGCATGCCTGGGTTCAAACCCTCTCTGTAATGCTTCCTAGCTGTGGCTGTTTCCCCACCTACAAAGTGGTGATGAAGGGGTGGCTGTGAGAATTTAATGTAAAGCACATATCACAGTCTCCAGTACATTATAATAATTTTAAGCTATTATTAAGAGTGTAATATATTTTTAATGAATAACAGCAGTAGTTATACTCTGTAGTCAAAAATGAGGTAAAAGAGTGGCATGTTCTCACATGATCTTCCTAAGAGAACCTGTTCTGAACCAAGCTGATACATTTTACCACCAACAATGACTATCAGTCTGCTTTCCTCTCCTGTACTTATCTAGGAGGAGGAGTGCTGTTCTTTTCCTCCTGTTATCTGTTGTTTGTATTATTGTTATTAATGCTCTTGAGATTCACTCTCTCCTTTACAAAAAGTTGAGTTTTAGATATGAACAGTGATACCAAAAAGGAAGTTGAACTTGAAGGGTAAGAAAGGGTAAACCCAGGATAAGGATGGAAGTGGTGTTTGGATTAAGAGACTGAGGAAAGGGCGCCTGGGTGGCTCAGTTGGTTAAGCGACTGCGTTCGGCTCAGGTCATGGTCCCAGAGTCCTGGGATCGAGTCCCACATCGGGTTCCCGGGCTCAGCGGGGAGCCTGCTTCTCCCTCTGATGCTCTCCCCTCTCATGCTGTTTCACTCTCTCTCTCAAATAAATAAAATCTTTAAAAAAAAAAAAGAGAGAGACTGAGGAAAGTAGAATCTAAGAAAGGTTCTAGTTTCATTCCGTCATTTGTCAAATATTTATTGTTCCCTCACACTATACAGGGCAAGGTGGGGATGCCTCTGGCTGGAGGGGCATCAGAATTGTTTAAGGCCTAATTTCTCTCTGTAAAGATTTTTAAAAATCTTTTAAATAATTTTTGAAATAGTTGTAGATTTACATGCAATTGTAAGAAATAATAGATCCCTTGTATATCACTAGAAGGATTTTAAGTCTTATTAATAATGAAGGTGAGGGGCACCTGACTGACTCAGTTGGTAGAGCATGCGACTCTTGATCGCAGGGTCGTGAGTTCGAGCCCCACGTTGGAGGTAGAGCCTAGTTAAAAAAATTATGAAAGTGAGATAGTTCCTAGTATAACTGGTATGAAATCACAAGTAGAAAGCAGTTCATAATTGTGAAAAAGCTGAGATTACTATGCTTGCAGCTGTAACAAATAAGGTTTCATGCAGGTATCAGTTTTTAAGCCAAACCTCCGAGGATGAGTACAATTGTATTAGGTTGAGAATGGAAGAGGGGAATGAGGTAAACCAAGAGCTGGGTGAGAGGGAGGACCTGGGTTCCTTCACCGAACAGTGGCAGATCACTTAGACAGACATTCATTCATTCATTTAAAAAAGATTTTTATTTATTTG